TCCGAAGTATGTCTTGGCGGGGGGGGGGGGGCCTTGAAGACTGCCTAGATATTTCAGCAGGAGCAGCATGGGGCCTCTTGACAGCTCTTTGGGGCTCGCCTTGTGGACCATATTCTCTCTCATCTAAAAGCTGCATGAGTTAGCCATTTGCTCCTCGGACCGTTTCAAGATAAAGGTGCTTGTCTGCAAGTTCCAAAACAGTATTAGCTCCTCACCACCACCATCACAGCACTTTTGTGCTGGAAATAAAGGCGCTCTAAGCAAATTCCTATTCCTAAAACTACTTGTGCTGAGATGGAATGAATGCGGGGGCAAAGTGCAAGAAATAACTTTCAGCAAGAAGAATTCTAAACCCCACCCTTTCTTCCCTGTGCTAAGCAAATTCCTATTCCTAAAACTACTTGTGCTGAGATAGAATGAATGCAGGGGCAAAGTGCAAGAAATAACTAGGTTCAGCAAGAAGAATACTAAACCCCACCCTTTCTTCCCTGTGTATAATCCCAAACAGTCCCTTACTTCCTCCAGTTAGGATGATGTGGAAGCCCAGATGGCAGAACTAAAACAGTGTTCGTGGTGGGGAGCAGCCTATTCCTAAAACTACTTGTGCTGAGATAGAATGAATGCAGGGGCAAAGTGCAAGAAATAACTAGGTTCAGCAAGAAGAATACTAAACCCCACCCTTTCTTCCCTGTGTATAATCCCAAACAGTCCCTTACTTCCTCCAGTTAGGATGATGTGGAAGCCCAGATGGCAGAACTAAAACAGTGTTCGTGGTGGGGAGCAGAAAAGCTGCAGGCCGGCTGGCCGGCCGGCTTCATTCCCATTATGGCCAGTTCTCCCCTGTGTATGTTTGCATTCATTTTTCTCTGCATGGTGGGGGCTGAGTTGCAAAAATCCTTTCCCACACAAGATGTGTTTCAATTTCTTTTTGAGTTTTCTGGAAATCTGCAAGGAACTCCGTTCTTTGGAAACAATGAGGCTGGGCCTACTGTTTGATTTTAGAAGGGGTCACGTGCTGCCAAATCCCTTCTGATCTACAGCATCCAGAACAAACTTTTAGTCATAGGTGTGATGTTCAGAGCAAAGCCTATACATTGCCACTTCCCAGCAAATTCAAAGCAGGGACTTGAACCCATGTTTCCTCATCCACTAGACCACATCGGCTTTCCTCTTGTCTTAAATGCGGAGCAGACCGGAAATCACATAAGTGTCTCCCTCCACCCCTGGCATTTTCCTCCTTGTACGCCCTGTTAGTTTGGTCACAGAACTGGTTACAACTGCGTCTCCCTCCACCCCTGGCATTTTCCTCCTCGTACGCCCATTCTCACACTGATTGTTAGTTTGGTCACAGAACTGGTCACAACTGCTGTGCAGCTCAGTGGTTTTAAGGCACCTAGCTGTGGAGCCAGAGGTTGGGAGTTCGATTCCCCCTCTGTCCCTCCTCGACAAGGGCTGGACTGGATGATCTCACAGGGCCCCTTCCAGCCCTGCAGTTCTAAGATGATGAGGATGAACCTCCTTTCCTATAGGTGACAAGAGACTACCCAGAGTGTTTTGATTCATAATATTCTATACCACTGGTTCTTAACCTTGGGTTACTCAGGAGTTTTGGACTGCAACTCCCAGAAGCCTTCACCACCAGCTATCCTGACTGGGGTTTCTGGGAGATGCAGTTCAAAAGCACCCGAGTAACAAAGGTTAAGAACCACTGTTCTATACTATGCTTTAAAATTTATTGATTGATTTAGTCTCTACCTTTCTCCCACAGAGGGGATTCAAGGTGTCTCACAATGTTCAGACAAGTAAAATTAAAAACAAACTAAGTCTCCCATTTAAAAAAAATTAATCAAACTATGAAAATAGTTGAAATAGATTAAATGATTAAAAATAATAAAAATTTTAAAAACACACTAACTTAGGGACTCAGTTATGGTTATTAAAAGCTTGCCTGGAAAGATGGGCCTTTCAACTAAAGAGAACACTAATGTGTATTTTGTGTTATAGGTACAGTTCACTCTTGTGTTTTGTTATCATAGAATAATGAATTGGAAGGGGTCTATGAGGTCATCAAGTCCAACCCCTGGCGCAATGCAGGAATCCAAATTAAAGGATATCTGCCAGGTGGCTGTCTAGATTTCTCTTGATCGTCTCCAGTGCTGGAGCCGTCGCCACCTCTCAAGATAATTGGTTCCATTGTCGTCCTGCTCTAACAGTTAAGAGGTTTTTCCTGATAGTCAACCAAAATCTGTCTTCCTGTAACTTGAGCCCATTGTTGCAAGTCCTGCACTCTGAGATAGTCGAGAACAAATCCTGCTCTGTATGGCAGCCTTCCACATCTCCCCCCCCGCCTCTTCCCACTAGACCAGATGGCATGACCCATGTAACTGCCTTTGCTGGTCATTTGGACAGTCCGGCCCAGTATTGTCCCATTTAACTTGCAACAGCTCTTTACGGAGTTCAGGTAGACATCGGAGCTGTGGGAAATGGAACTGAACCTGCATTTCACCAAAATGCAACAGTTCAGCCCCTGAAACCTTCTCTCCGGTCTCTGTGAGCAAGAGCCGCTCATTACCTGTCTTTGCCCTTGTTTATGACACGACTGACCACGGGCGACTCTGTGATGCGCGCCTGCACCCTCTGCTGGCCTGAAACAAGAGAAAGGTCATGGTGGGAACCTCTGCCCTGCCCGCCACGGTGCCCCCCTCCCACCCATACCTGGGGCTTGCCCTCTGGCCTCCTCCCCTCTGACCTCTGACCTTCCTCCTCTAGCATGTCCATGAGGCCATTCATGGCATCTGAGTCCACCGTGTCATCCTCGACCAGATCCATGGAGCCCAGTGGATCGGGGCCATGCGCATCCTCCGGAAGCTGCCCCGGGAACCGGCCTTCGCTCGTGGCGTCCGAGTCCTCGGCTTTGCTGCACTCCAGGGAGGAGTCTTCGGCAGTCACCAGCGAGGGCGTCAGCCCCGAGGACCACACCTGCATGTCCGACATCTCCATGAGGGCATCCTGTTCGGTGGCGGCCATGGGGATGGCGTCCATGATGGCCACCTCGCTCCAGTACTGCTCGGCGCGGAGCGGGGAAGGCAGCGCATAATGCAAAGAGGCGGGGGAGAGCAGCTCGTCCTGTAGCGAAGCATAACCTGCATGGGCAGACAGAGGGGGAGGGGAGGGACAGACTCATAGGCTGGCTGTGGAAATGGGCCCAGTCTTGGTGCCACTTCCTGCCTGCAAGAAAACAGTCTTGTTTGGGCGCTGAGCAAACCCAAACAAGGAACACTTGATGGCAGGAAGGGGGCCAGGATTCCCCCCCCCAATCTGTGCGTCGGACTCTACAGTGCAGTTGCCACGTTATTACAAGCAGGGGTCCTGTAAAGAATAGAGGATCGTGAGGTTCCTTTATCTCCCTCAAGTTGAAAAATCAGCTTTCTTTTGTTTTGTGATTGATTATCAGGAGGTAAACAGGGGTGTCGTTTGCAAATCCAATTACTGTACTCAGGCATGGAGATTTGAAGGAAATAAGTCTCTTGAGGGGAAACATGCTATCTGCTTTTAATGACAAGGCAACTGCACTGCACAACTTGATCCTTAAGGCATCATCTTTTCAGACAATCACCCAAAGGGTGGTTATCCCATGTGTGGTAAAAGCAGAGCTTCATGCCCTCCCAGATATGGCTGGACTTCAACTCCCATCAACCCCAGCCAGCAAGCCCAATCAGGTCAGGAACCCTGGGAGTTGTAGGACTAGAACTACACCAAGTGGGAAAAGATTGCCTACAGGCTGTGAATCTGCTAAGCCGGCCAGACTATTCCCCTTGCTCGTTGATAAGACCAAAGAAGCCATTTGTCCTCGGCCGGCTTCCCAGGAACACCACTAAGACTAGCTTTCTGGAGATCAGCTTGGGAACCCTTGTTTTGGGACAGAAGGGAGAGGAATCCAAAAGAAGACTTGATAATGAAACAAAGGCCATAAAGCTGGGTGTTGTCGTCCATGGCTTTCAGTCAGCCCAAATGGATTTCACTTGTGGCTACTGGGTTGTCGTGAACGTGGAAAGTGAAGGCTTTGTAACCCGAAGGAGCATTCCGGCAGGTTTTCAAAATGGTATGAAAAAAAATGCTTTCGACAAAAACCCAAACAAAAACTTTAAGCCTCATCTGTGAAAACTCCTCCTTGGGTCTTTAATAACGTCAAGAGTCCAGTGTGCTGCGTTTCAAAACAGTATGATTTTTTTTTAAAAAAAGCTGTAAAACATGCATATTTGCTTTTTAAAAGTTGTTTATATAACATGGTTGATAGAAACCAGTTTTTGAAAAAAAAACTTGACCTGGCTCAAGCTTTTGTCAATTAAAAAAAAACTTTAAAAAAGTTGAAACACATGTTGCCAAACACATTGTTTTTCGTTGTTACTATTAAAGGCTTCTGATTCATTAAAAACAACAACAACACACAACTGCTTCTTTCACTTGCAGTTGTTTTCTTTCATTCATGTCATGATTCTCTCCATCTGACACAAAGGGAAGGATGAGGGGATTAACACCAAAGTGTCATGGACAAAAGCTTTCACTGTCCTAGCTTCTCTCAGCCTTCCTTTCTCCTGCCCTTAAGAACTAGCATGGTAGTGTGAAGACTGAACGTCCACCATTATTAGGCTGCATTAACAGAAATATGGCCTCCAAATCTTGCAGGATACTAGTCCACCTTATTCAAAACTAGTTAGGCCTCATCTAGAGTACGCCGAAGAATTGATGCCTTTGAACTATGGTGCTGGAGGAGACTCTTAAGAGTCCCCTGGACTGCAAGGAGAACAAACCTATCTGTTCTGAATGAAATCAACCCTGAGAGCTCCCTGGAAGGACAGATCCTGAAGCTGAGGCTCTGATACTTTGGCCATCTCATGAGGAGAGAAGACTCCCTGGAACAGACCCTGATGTTGGGAAAGCGTGAAGGCAAGAGGAGAAGGGGACGACAGAGGACGAGATGGTTGGACAGGGTCACCGAAGCGACCAACATGACTTTGACCAAACTCCAGGAGGCAGCGGAAGATAGGAGGGCTTGGCGTGCTCTGGTCCATGGGGTCACCAAGAGTCGGACACCACTTAACGACTGAACAATAGAAGAGTACGGTGTGTAGTTCTGGACTCCACACTTCAAGAAGTATACCAACAAACTGAAGCAAGTTCAGAGGAGGGCACCAAAGATGATCAAGGGACTGGAAAGCAAGCCCTAGCAGGAAAGACTGAAAGCCTTGGGCATGTTTAGCCTTGAGAAAAGAAGAATGAGGTGAGACAGGATAGCACTTTTCAAAGACTTGAAAGCCCGTCCTACAGAGGAGGGGCAGAATCTGTTCTTGATCATCCCACAGTGCAGGACACGTCATAATGGGCTCAAGTTACAGGAAGCCAGATTTAAGTGGAATATCAGGAAAAAAAAATTCCTAGCTGTTAGAGTAGTACGACAATGGAACGGATTATCTCAAGAGGTGGGGAGTGCTCCAACTCTGGAGGCAGTTCAGAGAAAGATAGGCAGTCCTCTGTCAGATCTGCTTTGATCTGGATTCCTGCACAGAGCAGGGGGTTGACTCAAGGGCCTTATAGGCCTCTCCCAACTCATTTGTTCTATGATTCTGTTATTATTATTTCAGGGAGCTGATGATGCTTGGAAAGCAGAGCTGTTCCATACCTTTATCTATCGCTGGAAACAGCTGCATGTTTTTTTTGTTTTTGTTTTTTGTTTTTACTACAACTCAGAGAATTTGCCAGGTAGATTCTTGAAGTTGTAAAACTTTGCGTTTCAATATTGTACTATTTCAAAACTGGTTGGGCTGGGGTTGTAGTCCAAACAGTGACCCAAAACAACCGTAGGATAAAATAAAACCTGTCTATGCAATGGAAAGTATAAACATCTCCCCCCCAAAAAATTCTTTCAGTGTTTTTCCAAAATCATTGTCCCTGTGCTCTGGGTAAGAC